TCAGACTTGTGACGTCAATTATCACTTCTATATACATTTTTATAGCTTAATTAACTCTTATAGTAATAAACAGTTGCTATCCTGCCTGCCCCCCCCCCCCTGTGGTGGGACACAAATAGATAGCCTATTGTGTGTCTTTGTGATTTAACTATAAACAAACAAAAGCTTTCCTGCCACAATTATTTGAGAATGTCTTAGAAAGGGTCCTAGTGATTAGTATCGTAACACGATATAGCATCTCCCTAGGCCTAACTAACTGATGCTATTCTGCAAGGTATAGTTTCAACTAGTTTTCTACAGTTTTCTTGTGTAACTTTGTAAAAAAAATGTTTTAAAAGTTCTGTTAATTAATGAAGGCTTTGGTCTAATCTTTCGAATTAACGTCTTCCAAAATGCTCTATATAGCTAAGATCAGCACTCGGAGAAGTCATTCTAAGAGGTTGTTACTTTGAAATAAGCCATGGATCTTACATGATTTATAGCAATGATTGTTACCCTATTGGAGTAGATGTTTTTTAATAGAAAACTTTGTTGTAATATCTGGAACGTCATCATTTATTATCTCTTGATATTTCTAAGTATTTAGACACTTCACCGTTAGGCTCTAATTCTGCCCACACCACTTTCCTTCACGGCTGCTACAACAACAGATGTGGTTTAACAGCTCATTTAGCTGCTTCTAGCCAGACCATGTTCAACGGTCACTTCAAGACTAAATAAAGGAACTCAGATCATTCCAAAATAATTGTCCCCCAGTGGTACAGCGGTATGTCTGCGGACTTACAACGCTAGAAACCGGGTTTCGATACCCGTGGTGGGCAGAGCACAGATAGCCCATTGGGTAGCTTTGTGCATAAATTCAAAAAAGAAACAAACCAAAATAATTGGGATGGCATGGCTAGGTAGTTAGGGCGTTCGACTTGCAATTTGCGGGTTCGAATCCTTGTCCCACCAAAAATTCTCGCCCCTTCAGCTGTGGGGGCGTTATAATGTGACGGTCAATCGCCTTTATTCGTTGATAAAGGAGTAGCCCAATAGTTGACGGTGGGTGGTGATGACTAGTTGTCTCCCCACTAGTCCTACACTGCTAAATTAGGGACGGCTAGCGCAGATAGCCGTCGTGTAGCTTTGCGCGAAATTCAAAACAACCCAACCCAACCCAAAACAGTTACACCCAATTGCCGAGATACCAGTATCAGTGAGCTTTACTCTAACCAAAATGTACAGAGCATGTTTCAGGATGATGTACAGTTTGCACAACTTCTCTCTTCTAAAGTATCCACATTTATTTAGATCAGGCTGCACAAAACCCATGATTAAGTTTTGTTTAAATGTGGCCCACTACATGCAGCAAAGCACAATTGTTGTACTCTAACAGTCATTTGAAATACTTGATCCCAAATTCCAATGCTAGCAACTACATGTTTATTACTAGATTGTCTCTCTGTTACGTCCAAAATGGTGGTGTTTACTTTTCGGCTTGCCGGTAATATATGCGTGATGTCACGCGCATAGGGTCTATATGTGATGTGGTTAACTATCACGACAAAAGCTTAACTAATTTTAATTACAGTACATGTGGTGTTTTTGTTATAAATGTATATGTATATATCTTGCCAGAATTATCCAGACTCACCTTGATGTAAGTAAGTAGGTAGGTTAGTAATATCGCAATATGTTCCAGATGCAGGAATATGGTGATCGAAGTGAATGTAATAGAAGAAAGAGGATTTGTGAATTAGTGCGCTTTGCTTCTTTCAGTGTGATCACATTTAAACAAAATGTGAAGTAGTGCATTCAGGTGTGCGGCAGTTAGTTGTACAAACAACCAGACAAAGAATCCGGAGTTATCTTTTTATTGGTTTTCAAAAGATCCAGTACGTAGAGTTAAATGGACTGCGGGAGTAGATCGTGCATACCCAAACAACATTGACAAGGCTTGGAAACCATCGTCGTACCATAGACTATGCAGTTCCCATTGTATACCTGGTTAGTACTACTTCTATATATACAATGTACCTTGTCACAATTATATTGCACAGATCTTGATAAAATTTGTAGTTTATAAATATTTGGTGCTTCCCTTAATCTACAGGTCCATACAAACATTGTTAGGTGGAAGGGCCCAGTGGGCGATAATAAAGTTTTATAAAAAATGTGGCGTGTCAAGAAAGGTGGTCTTAAAATTCAGGTTTTTTTGTGTGTAAAGTATAATGTATAATCGTGCATCCAACCAGCTACAAAATACTTGTAAGCATCAAGGCTTTTATAGGGCTTGAACTGCTTTCCGGTGTAAAAAGATGTTGTCAGGTCTAAATAATTTATTATACCTATACTTTAACGTTGGTTTGTAATTGTAGGCCTAAATCGGGTTCTCCGTTTGCAATCAAACGCGATTGTCATTGCTGACGGGATGGAATAAGAATCTGTCGTGTCAGGACCTACTTTTCTGCACTTTTCTTCATATCTTGACTTGCATGTGTTGTCTAATTTGCTAGTAAATTCGTGAAAAATGAACGGAGAACTGGGTGATTGTGTAGCGGAAGCCATGTTTTCATGAATAATGTTTACGTCCAATATGGCTGCAAATTGTTGGAATGTTTACTTTGGTCACGTGACTGCATAAGGTCTATAAGAATTATGACACCCGAGTAACTGATAATCTTTCTTGGTCGAGTGTCTCATTTATAACGATTCATGAACTGAACTTTATTGCTAAAAGTAACGAAAATCGTTTTGTAAAGGAATTATTTATTTTAGTTCTGTATACTAGAACTTTTCGCTTTTTAGAAAGAAAAAAAATGTATAATTAAAGTGTTGAAAAAGTAAGTGAATAAAACTGTTTATAATAAGCGACTTTCAAACATCCAAATGATACTGGAACCTATAAAACTTTGACTCTTGGAGCGATGAGACTAATCATCAAAAAAATAAAAAGCTTTAATAATAAGAGACCTAAATATTGTTTTGTTTTTTAGATAATGAGTCCGTGCAACTTTTATAAAGTTAAGTACCCCAAAAACGAATATAAGTTTTCAACATTGGTAACACAAAACTTCAATATGAAGGAACAAACGTTTTAAAAGTTAATCGTCTTTATTCTCTGTAAAAAAAATATGATTTTGAATTAAAAGGGAATTTACACGAATTTGTGAGAAAACTCAAAATTGACTTTATACTTTTTTACTTTATCAGAATTCTTTTGAAAATAAATCCTTTGTTACTCTTAAAACTCAGTTTCGTCTTACTAATGGAATAAATTATGAACTAGGTTTTATTTATGAAAGAACTGAAACATTTTCTCTCAAAGAAAGCGTTAATCGATAATCTTTCAAAACAGGAGCCTTACACCGTATGAAAAATACGAAGTATGAATAGTATGTTTATTTAAAAAGAGATTGGAAATTATCTTTGTGTTAATGAAAGAAACGTTGTTCAGTAACATGACATTAATACATACCTCAAAGACGCTTGAATCCTGTAAATCTGACATAAGAAGATTTTGTTTTGTTTTACATCGGAAAACTAAATAACAATTAATTGACCGTGTGAATTAATTTTCTGGAGTTTTTCATTAAGAAGAAAGTTTTTAATTAGTGGAGGTAAAAACGGGATATTTTTGTTTGCTACCTACGTTTGATAAATGTGTTAAGTTATAAAAACTTCGACAGGAAAGATTTTAGGATACAGATTAACGGTTATTCAGGCCATGTAGACCACGTACTGTTGGTTTTGAAAAATTGCGAAAACCCTAGAGCCTTTACAATTCCTCCGTTGGACACACACACACATAACACCTTTTATGTTTGTCTGTACAGAAACCTTTTGAAGTGAACTTCCGTTTCTCATTCTGTCTGTCTTGAACACTTTTTTTAATATAAAAACGGCCTAATTTCGATAAGTACATGAAAGCTTATTGCTTGGAAACACCAAGTACTTGCAACGAATCCGGTCGATGAATTTAATTATGTATTAGTCTCCAGTTTTTGTAAATTCTCAGTGAACCTATTGAAACTTGGAATTCATTAATTTTTTTTTGGTGGCTTAATTAAAATATTAACTCACACATAGATTAAAAGCGTTGTGACGTGTGTTTCTCAAACTAGAGGTAAAGTTTGTTGATTTTACACATTTTCTTTTTCCATATCTTGTTTTCCACTCTAGTACGTTAATCAAAATAAAAAATAAACTTCTTTATCACGTAAACAAACGCGAAAACGAAAACAAAAAACGCACAGCAGTGGTTACTTACTTCATATTCTGATTAACAGCACTCATCATGGATGAAATAGCTTCCTTAATACGAATATTCTTGTTGTACTTAACAATATAATTGGCCCCCAGTAGCACAGTTGTATGACTGCGGACTTACAATGCCAGAATCCGGGTTTCGATACCCGTGGTGGGCAGAGCACAGATAGCCCATTGTGTAGCTTTGTGCTTAATTACAAATAAACAATAAACAATATAAGTGAAAGTAATCGTATGAATCAAGATACAGACGACAGTAGTTTTCAATGTACCAACTAACAGTGCTTTAAAATCACCTCTAGAAGCTGTATTCCAGCCAGTGAAGACATTGAAATTAAATTTATATCGAACGTTTGTTGATATCTATTAATGCTAAAATCTAAGAAATAATTCTCTATTTTGATATATACACACACATATATATATATATATATCAAAGACAGCTCTTAAATCAATATCACGTTCTAATCCACGGACCAACGAATGCCACATACTCGAGATAAAGGTACCCGAGGAGGAATCAACCAATGAAATTCTGTTCTATAAGTGCCACGTACCCAAAGAAGTAGTATAATACCAGTCTTAATACCTGCACTTACTTCACAATACACGTTATTTATAAAACCAGAGAGGCAAAATAGACATAAAAAATACTTATATTGAAGGTCAATTATATTGCATTTGATAGTGAGACTTAGCATTACTTTTATAAAATAATGCAATTTTCATTTTGGTATAGATAAGCTTTTAGAACAAAACGAATCATTTATGCAACTTCATTCCTTACAAGCCTAACTTGCTGTCGTTCCATTACAAAGTACAATAACTCTGAGAGCTGAGTGATCATGATTTTCTTATCATATAACACTTGGGCAGTAATTGGATTGATCTGTTTTCTTGTTGTTGTTTTTTTTTTGTTATTTTCTTCAGAAGCATGTACAGAATTTCTCTTCATACCATTTGTAAAGTGGAATTGTACTTTTTAATAATATTTGAAAATAACGCAGCTGTAAAATGGGGACTACGACAATGCAATAACATAAATCATTCTGAATTACTCAACGAAACATATCGATGTGAATTAAGTGCCCAAAATATAGAATACGCGAGTTTCGTCTTGTAGTGAAATCGAACAATTGGAGTAACTTAATCGTTTCAATTTATAGGAAATTCTTATAACCTTTACTATTAAAAAAATCTTTCCAGTCTAACATCCACGAGGCTCGAACCTTTCAGTTTATTCTAGAAATTTTGCGCAAAGTGACACAGAGAACTATTTGCGCATAGTTGTCCCTAATTTTGAATTGGGGGACTATAAGTGGGGGGAGGGATATAATTAGTCAATAGCAGCCATCATTAACCCTTTGGTTATTCTTGTTTGACCGAATAGTGCACTGTCGTCAACAAAGAGTGGAGCGTGTTTTTACGACAACAAGATACGAATCGTGAACCTTCGGATTTAAAGTACGAGCATACGCAAACCTAACAGAGTTGATTAAGGGGAAAAAAAGGAAGGGATAGAACTTGTTTTATACATTACAATAAACCATTGCCTGATGAATAATTGTAAATTAAATTACTTTTTACTCCTGGATCTGTGGGCAGCGAGTTCCTACTGTCAATAGATATTGGTATCTGGTAAAAGGAATAACATTGATTTATTGATCGCTGGTGTACTTACAATGTATCTAACGTTCCTTTTGGGATTAATCTAAAGTACGAAAACCTGTTCGAAAGTAGCTCAATTATTCTGCACCTTCGTTTTGTGCTCTCAGTAACTGCAGTCGAAACAGTGAAATAATTCAGTCTCAAAAATACGTAAGAAAAGTATTGCGACTTTAAAGTTATCTTCACGAACTTGTTTACCATCGTCTACTTCCCATATACTCTCCTTTTTTTACTTCCTGTTTACGCTCTCGACAAATTTCCTTCCACTACTAGTTTAGTTCCTTTCCCTATCTTTATATTTCCTGTTTGCTCTCTACTCCTTTCTTTCTTTTCCACTTCTTTCCTTCCATTTCATGTTTACATTCCTTCCTACTTTTCTAGTTTCTGATTACTCTCTACTTCTTTCCTATCATTTCATGTTTTCTCTCTCTTTACTTTTTCTCCCACTTCCTGTTTAGTTTCTTTTCACTTCTTTCTCCTTTCTGTTTACTCCCTATTTTTTTCTTCCCATTTAGTTTTGACTCAATATTTTAATCTTTCTATTTTTTCTTTCACTCTACTTTTTCCGTCCACTTCCTGTTTACTCTTTATTTTTGTCCCTGTACTTCCTTTTTTAACTGTCTTTCCTTCCTTTCATGTGATGTATACCACCACTTCAGCAGGAACTAAATTTAGAAGTATTTTTCAACCAAAAAAAGGCACCATTTTGGACAAATCCTCGGAGATAACCATAAAAAAATAATAATAAGAGAACGTTTTAAATACCAGGTAAGTGGAAGAAGCCAAGGTCCAAACCTATTGTATCCACTCCCTGTTTATACTGTGCACTTTCTTTATACTTTCTCTATATTTTCTCAGTGAATCTTTATTTTTCTTCAACATCTTGTTTTTTATTTCTCCACTCAAGTTGTTTTTGTTTATTGAGTCTTCCTATTTCTCAACAGTTTCTGTGTACGGAGGGTTAGAATATTATATTAAAACGATTTTGGAGTCTCAGCACGTTGTTTATGTCTATGTCGCCTCGTTCGGTCGTGCTCTATCTGACGACTGTGCATCTTAATGACAGCTCTACAACATAGTTTCATTGGAAAAACAAAAAACAAACAATCTCCGTGTTAGGGCTGTCATGTCCAAAGAAACCCAAACCCTGATGGCTTTCCATAGTTCGTCTAGGATACGAGGATGACGGTTTTAAGCGCCCGTTTTAATAGTTCATTTGTATAGAAATTCATAGGTCCTGCTCAGCCGACTTAACCGCTATGTCTTCGTATGGAATAGCATGAATACTTATCTGATTCCCCAACTGTTTGAGGTTTGCGACGGTTATATTGGGGTATGACTGACAGCATTAGTTTGGTGAACCTACCCCGTTGGTCTTGTCTTGACTTCTTGATTATGTTGCGTACTGTTGCCTATTGCATGTAGATGGTTTTAGCCTTTTATTTTTGTATCCGTGAATTATCACATGTTACAAAATGCCACACTTTGCTTAACATGCCTGGTTTACGACTTGTTGCAGGCCTCTTTGTGGATGTCTCTGGAGACCCAAATTGATTCATATTTCTTGTTTTTTTTTATCTTATTTAAGTATAGTAGATATTTCCGTCTTGGAAATTCTAATTCCCTTGTGTGAACACATTTTTATGAGCTATGAATATTTTGCGTTAGAACGGGCTGTTACATAGCCCTTTTCAAAAGTGATAGATTTTCGGTAGTATCACACTAACTAAATAACGCCAAAATGTAGTTCTTATACATGGCGTTATACCATTACCTTATATCAGCTGCGGTTGGCAGGTTAATTTCTGATTTGGATATTCAAAATCATTATAATATAACTTACTCAACTTTACAGTCTTAACGATCATATTGTTCAAATGTGTTTGATTGCTCTCAGGGCGGATGTGGTGTAATATTTTTATAAGAAATGGCAGAATCTGATAGCTTCACACATATCAATATATAGTAGTTTTTCCTTACTTCAGAAACATAGTATTATGTATTAAAATTTCAAATGGTCTGAAATTGAGTTAATTGATAAATTTAAAGTTAATATTTAAATTGTACTTTGGATTTAGTTAAGTAAAAGCCG